TCACTCCCCTCCATCCTGTTATTTGTAGCTCATTTTGGTTTATGATGTTAGGTAGAAACTATTTTAACATAATTTTTATAAATATTGATGTAAAAAAATTCTCCTATATATTCAAAAAGTAACTAAAAAATTCCACAATAAAAAGTGACATCACAATACTATTTTAGCAAATACTACTATATAGATGATAATGTGTAAAGAAAAGAGATTTAAGACAAATATAGTTTGGATTTGAATTTCCCATTCTACCATTACTTTATGATAGAATTGGAAGAATTGGAATATGTGTAATTGGAAGATTTATAAAGAATAAATTTGATGTGACATAAATTAAAAATCAATGAAGGTAAATAAGTACAAAGTAATTGAAAGGGTAAGAGGTTTTTGGAATGAATGAAAATAGAAAAAGAAAAAGTTTTGTGAGACAGAAAAGTAATTAGGTATATAAAATATTTCAACAGAACAAAACAATTAGGTCTACATATACTCTGTAGTTTAACTCTTGCTTAGATATCATGTCCATATCTCACTCCTCTCAATGAGATCCAACTCAATTGTTGTTGTTGTTGTTGTTGTTGTCCAAATCCCACTCTTATATAGGAAGAATTCAAACGCTTAATACACTGTTTAAGACTCGATCCTTCAAAATGGACATAATTTATTATATATGTGGTTTAATGAAGGTTGCATTATGTCAAACGGTTCAAGGTAGAGTAGTTGATTGAAGGGTTGAATGCAAAAGAAAGAGAATTCAACTTATGGTTGATTAAAAACCAACCCAAAAAGAAGCCTTACCTTGTTTTCAATTCAATGAAACATTGAAAAGTAAGTTGGAAATTGCACCAAATTAAATGTCAAGTTTGCTATAATTTCAATGAAACCCATATACTCCGTACATCCCCGTCTCTCCAAAACTTTTTTCCATTTCGCTCTAACAAGATTTATCGAAAAATCTTGTGAGTTAATACAATTACACGTTTGGGAACTTGAATTAGTTTTTTAAATCCGAACCCAGCGCAAATTCTATGTTTGGAATCTTAAAAGTTTAGATTTGTGTTTGAGGCAAACTCCTCCATACATAACAAAACTCAATTACATCATATATTTTCCTTAGTCATTTGAAATTCAAGAATTCAAATTTGGAACTGAAATGAAATATAAGTTCTCACACACTACATACAAAAAAATTAGACAAGTGTTATGGAAGGGGAAACTACATGCGCCGGAGAGATTTCAAATCCAACAATAATCATCTCATTTTCTTTTTCAGTCCGTCCTCACTTTCTTACTAAATTCCTAATATAGTAAAAAAAAAGAAAGTGCTCCACAGTTCTTTTTCCTATCATCAAATTTCAATCATTCACTATTAACTTTTCAAGATTGTTTCTAAACTCCCTAAAGTCAAACTGATATGATTAATTTAGGACAGAGAAGTAGCCATGATAAAATTATGCTGTAAATGATAATGTAAAGAGTGAAAAGTACCGTATTGAGTGCGGCAAGGAGAGTATTAAGAAGCGGCGCGGAAGCGATGATGCGATGCAAAGGAACGGTGACAGCGAAGCCGAGATCCAACGGCGGAGAATTGTGCGGAATCATACGGAGCGTGTACTCCACGCCCATGAAGAACAACACCGACAAAAAGAAGGCGCACGGCCGCCACCACACCTAACAAATCCCCAGCTCTCCAGGTCATGAAATGCGCGTCTCCCAACCGCCACCGCCCACCGCCGGCCTTATTCGCCGGTTTCTTCTTCATCTCCGGAACGGATGTTTTGTTTTTGGATTCGTTGCCGTCGGCGGAAGTGGCGACGGCGTTGCTGCTGTCGGAGGGGGAGGAGGAGCCGAGGAGGGGAGTGTCGCTGCTCATCTTTCGCCGATCATGGCGGATCGGTGCTGGGTACGGACGGTTTTATAAGGGAATCGGACGGCGGAGCCACCGAGGAATCGCTCGTTTCCTCAATTTCGGTGGCGATTTTTAATACGTAACGGGAGAAAGGAAAAATGTGGGTTAGCTTAGGTAATGGAGATCAGAAATTGAGAAAGACGGTCAAAGTAAGAGGTAGAAAAAGAATCGTGCTACGACTTTAACCCCACATTTTGGAGTTATTCATGTTGCTGCGCAAGCTTTCCATGACATTAGTTCTCAATCTTATGGGATGATCGAGGACGCTTTGGTGCTCCGTTCGTAAAATTGATGGTTTCTATCCCCTAACTCTCGGTAAACCTCCCACCTCGCCTTGACCCGAACACTACCCACTCCTTTCAATTGCATCCCACAAGTTAATTTTGACTTTAGAGTCAAATTTTGAACCGAGACCGAGACCGAACCAAAACCAGAAAAAATCAAACTAAATTAGGCCATGAACCGATGTGAACTAAACCAAACTGATAATAACATATATCCAAAAGAGACTAGAAACAGAAAGATTCGAACTGAAATCGAACCGATTGACCTACTTGTCAGGTCTACCTAATATGTCTAAAATACACCCAAAAATAACTTTTACCCCTATTAAAAGAAAAATGAGGTGAACTTTAGATATATTAGGTATAGATAGAAGTGGTGTGTAAGATGCATAAAAATTAAGGATCGAAATATTTTTTCAAACAAAGGAGTATGATACTTTACACACACAAAAAAAGATTCTATACCTATTTGTTTTTCCCACACTCACGATTGTTATATGTGTGTATTTGTACAACATTATAGTTCTCTTTGGATGCATACCTTTAAAAAAATTTATTTATTTTTATTTAGATTCTGGTTGTGGGAGGAATATTTTTTTTGAAACACTTCGATTTCATTGGTAACATAAGTTGCAGGCCTTTTAACCCTTTGTGCTTGTACTTTTCTTAGTAGATGGAGGTCAATTAGAGTGTTCTCTAGTGCTCTCAATTAAAGCACCAATTCAGTTACCAGAAAACTAACGAGCCCGATTGATGTAGTCGAAGCAAGGAGTTGAGAAAGTTTTGGATAAATTAAACTGTGACAATCTTTTATAGATAGTTGAAACAATGAACATCTTCTAAGATGTTGCATTTTAATGTGGAGTATAGTTATTAATAGTAGTGATTAGTCCAATCTATCTATCCATCTCCAAAGTAATTAAAGAAAACCCTCCAAATAGGAGTAAAACATATGTTATATCCTCAAAGTAGAAGTTCAAACTTAAACTTCTCTTAATAGGAGTAATTAAATTAAAAAAAATCTGTCTACCTTTCCTATTCCCAGCGGCCAGCGCACTACTCAATAAAGGAAAAAAATCTGTCCTTCCTTCATGCATCTTCATCTCCAAGCCTCCATCACAATTGATTTCACTGGTAATGTAATTTTCTTGAATTGCAGCAGCGCAGGAGCAGACTCCTCTAATTTTAATTAATTTCTCAATTTCAATAATATTTCTATATTTTCAATTTTAGACCTGATTTTTTCTGGATTGAGTAATCATTGCTCCGTTGTCCCAATCCTGAAAGGAAAAAAAATCGTCCCTTCCGCTGATTCCTCTTCTACCGCAACTCCTTTCAACAAGCTCTGCCCGTCGCTCGTCTAGACTCGCCGGCGGGACCAAAGAATCATATTTGGCGCCGGACAGTGCCGAGTTCGGAATTCCCACTCTGGTTTCGGTCTCCACCACCGCTGATTCCCCTTCTGCTGTTGTCAATGACGGTTGGTCATCCAGCTGCCATAACAGTAGCTGTGAGATGGATGATGGTCACCGGTAGTATTATTGCAGGTCAGTGGTTGAGTTTGACATTATTCATTTGTTTGACATTTTGAATTTGCAACAGTGGCATTATATATGATAATATGTGGCATTGTGCATTACCATATGTGACATTATATGGTAATCCGTGGCATTATGTATTACCATATGTGACATTATATGTGGCCATGTTTGGAATTATACCTTCATTGTTGTTAATGTGGCACTGCGACAGAGACAATGCAAAGTGTGATTGTGTTGTCTTTAATGGTGCAGAGTGTGATGGTAGTACAGTGTGATGGTGATAGATTTCGTCGATCTCTAGCTAGCCTCACTTTGGATTTGCAGATCGGACAGCTTGTTAGCTCGGTGGCCGCCATTCCCCGCCTCGGCATCCTAAGTTTCGAGTGGGTTTCCGAAGCTCTCTACACGCAGTTGCAAATGCTAGAAAGGGGATTTCCTTCAACGGCAAAATCACTGCCGCCACAAGCTTCAATTCCCTCATGTCATTCTCTCATATGGTCATTCTTACTCTGAAAAAGTAGATTTGTTAAAGGTCGCATATCTACGACAATTGAGAAGGTACGGGTGAAGTTCACCCAAGCGAATCCCGTCATAGGGTATCGCCAATATGACGTTGTTGTTATTAACTACTACCAGCCACGAAAAAATGCACAAAAAACAAGGCTGGCTATAAAGATTGCTAGGTCCTAGAATTTGGAAGGGAGCAACAAAGTTGATGGTGCTGAATTGTTGGGGTTACCGCCAATAAGGATGTTTCTAAAATTGTTTATGAAGCTTGTGATCTAGATGAGGGGATATCTGCGTTCCAGCCCATGGTTAATGGCTAAGGGTGTTTAACTCCTATTTTGGGAATTTTATCTTTCAACTCCTATTTTGAGATTTTATCAATGTTTTACTCCTATTTTGTTCATTAACCCAAGTAATTAATTACTCCATCCGTTCATGACTATTTGCTCACTTTTGATTTTTTTCGATTAAGGTTGGTAAACATTAACTTCAAATTAAATAAAAATGATATTAGATATTGATACAAATATAGTTTTATTAGATTTATTATATCAAATATTTTCAAAGTATTGTTTTATTTAATTAATATATAATATATATTCTATATAATTATAAGTCAAATGTTGAAAATAGTTAATCGAAAAAATCAAAATTAAACAAATACTCAGGAGGAAGGTATTATATTCCAATTTTATTCTAGAATTTGAGCAAGTTTTCGTGAACCCATTGGACAAAAGCTAAGCCAAAAACAGAGCACAACACATAGCACACACTATTTTAATTCCCTCCCCAACTTATTATTATAAAGACAAGACAATTCATAAATATATAATGGGGGAGTCGTCTCGGCTGGGGTCAGTGAGACAGAGAGAGCAAGCAGAGGCGGATGACTCTGACCATATCAGTCAGGGACACAACCCCTTGGAGCAGACCCTTGTCATCGACCACCCACACGCGGTGCACCCGGTGGCGCACCGCCTTCTCCACCGCCTCCCCCACCGTCACCTCCGCGCCGCAAGCCACCGGCTCCTTCCACGTCGACCGCACCCCCGCCGATTCGTGCGCCGGCGACTCGGACAGCTTCCGCAGGAAGTCGACCACCCTCCATTTCAGACACGTCTCGAGCACTGGTATCGGGCATGCCCGTAGGTCCGTCGCCGAAAATGTCCCCGTCACTTTCCGGTTTTTACCCTTCAATTTCAAACAAAAAACATCAACTGTGTTACAGTAACACCAATTATTTGTGCATATCTATGAAGCACGTGGTGTTGGAAATGGTTTCACATTAATGTTGGGGTGACTACAGATTAAAACACATTGGTTTTGCACTTTAATTATGATACTCTTCACTCTAAGGGCTCCTCTAAGGGGCTGTTTGGACACTTCTGAATGGGTAAGTGCTGAATAAGTAAGGGGTCTGAATCATTAAGAGCTAGGTATATTGCTTAACTATTCAAAGGCAAATGTCTGATCAATTCAGATAAGAGGTAGTATTAATCATTCAGACTCTGTATAATATTTAACCATTCAGAGACAAATCTCTTAACCATTCAGACTTCTGAACCATTAAGAGGCTGAAACAAACAGTCTGAACCATTAATTACTGAACCATTCAGAAATCTGAACCATTAAGAGGCTGAAACAAACAGCCCCTAAATATTGTACACCATCTTTATTTTGTTTTTGTTTTTTTATATGGACACTTATTTTGTTTGTGCTATGCTAGCATAACAAGTAGAAATCAATAAGAGGTGACTTAACCCATGATTTTCTATATTTAGTGCTTCTATGGTGCACCTCGCATACATAATTTTTTATGACGGATTATGAAAATTTTTTTAATATGACAAAATTTCCCATAGTTAGTTCTTTAGACAAAATATGACCAATTTTTTTCATTGATCCTCAAATGATTGATTATGGAATTTTTTTTAAAAAAAATTAAGGCCTACATCAAAATAATATCTTAGAATTAGAAATTAAATATGAAAAACACACATTATGAGATTTACTTAAATAACACTAAAACATAATGATTTTTCCTAAATAGCATCATATATATGTGTGTGTTTTTTGTCCCAATGTAACACTTTTAGTCATTATACATTAGTTATTATTCAAGTAAATGTTTGCCATCAGTGGACATTATTCCTCATTTTTTACATTATTAAGTGTTATTTAGGGAATAAAACAGTTTAATATTTAAGTCTTAGTGCTATTTAGTGCAAATATTTCATCAATAATGAGCTTACATTAACAAGTTGCCTGTGATCTTCTTGCACAGAAACCGAAGACTCGACAATGGGCACGGCGTTAAGAGAAGCCGCCCTCATACATTTGATGGCGTCGATGACCCTCGCCTTATCGGTCACCCCGAAAACCGCGTCCGCCGCCACCGCATTGCTGTCCTTGAGGCGGTGCGACATCACGGCTTTGAGCTCGTCGTCGTGTTGGCCCGCGCATTCTCTCAAGAACCTCAACACGTCCATTTGCGTGAGCATTCGGTAGCTCGATGCCGATTCGACGATCTCCACGCCCGGCGCGTTATCTGCCTGGCCTTCGAATGGGACCATGGCTCGGTGAATGCCTTTGCTGAAGACTTCCATGCAGTCCACAAGGCTTTGTGCATATATATATCCAATATAATACAAATAATTAGTGGAAATACTGATTAAACTAAAAAAACTTACTACCTTGTCAAGGAACCAACTCAACCAAAAGCTCAAGCTTGTGATTGTGGCCCAGGAATGATTGTTATATACTCTAACACGCCCCCTCACGTGCAGACGTGACTTCTTTGAGCCTTGCACGTGAAACATTAATTTTTTTTAAATTGGGTGGCGGTGAGTTTCGAACTCGTGACCTCTTGGTCATCAAGGCTCTGATACCATGTCAAGGAACCAACTCAACCAAAAGCTCAAGCTTGTGATTGTGGCCCAGAAATGATTGTTATATACTCTAACACTGTCAAGGAACCAATTCAACCACAAGCTCAAGCTTGTGGTTGTGGCCCAGGAGTAGTTATTTATATTCTAACACGCCCCCTCACGTGCAGGCGTAGTCTTTTTCGAGCCTTGCACGTGAAACCTTAATTTTTTTAAACTGGGTGGCGCTGAGTTTCGAACCCGTGACCTCTTAGTCAACGAGGCTCCGATACCATGTCAAGGAACCAACTCAACCAAAAGCTCAAGCTTGTGGTTGTGGCCCAGGAAATGTTTCTTATATTCTAACACGCCCCTCACGTGCAGGCGTAGTCTTTTTCGAGCCTTGCACGTGAAACCTTAATTTTTTTTAAAATTGGGTGGCGCTGAGTTTCGAACCCGTGACCTCTTAGTCAACTAGGCTCTGATACCATGTCAAGGAACCAACTCAACCAAAAGCTCAAGCTTGTGGTTGTGCTTGAGTTGGTTCCTTGACATGGTATCAGAGCCAGTTTTAGCCCACCTCGTTTGTCAAGGTGTCCGTCTAGACGTTCATTCCTAGCGGCCAGTTAGTCTTTAGCCCAGTTGTCCGTATGGATGTTGTACCCAACGGCCTGTGGTCTGTTTAACACGATTGCTCGTCTGGAAGTTCATACCCAGCGGCTCGTGGTCCTTTAGGTGTTGACGCTCAAAAAAAAGTCAAGGGAATGGGAGTTATTTGCAAGTGGTCAACCGGTTAGATTCAAAATGGCCCGGTTGTCCACTTGAGGGAGAGTGTTAAGAGATCGGAAAACTGTGAGAAAAATAATCGCTATATAAGCTCTTGAGTTGAACTAACTAATCGATTGGATTCAATCTTTTAACACGGTTCAACCCAAGTGTCTTATTGCCCAATCCAGTTATTCATACCCCAATCCAATTCTAATAAACATTACTCTCTCCCCCCCAAAATATAATGTTCGTCACATTACGGGAAACGAAGTAAATTTTAAGCTTTTTCAATTCATTTAATTTAAAGACTCGTATAAAAGTTACTCCCTCTGTCTATAAATAAACTTTACATTGCGCGTTACGATGTTTGACTGAAGTTATTTTCAAATCATTTTATATGAAAAATGGTGTAGAATTAAAAAATAAAAGTTACATATTAAAAAACTATATCAAAAAATCTACAAAACTAGATGTGACATGACTATATTATTTTATCAAATGAGTAATAGGCCAACAAAGTGAATAAAGTTTGACCCTGTGAATATTGAACGTAAAGTTTATTTCTGGACGGAGGGAGTATATATTTAAAAACTACGTAAATGACAAAAATATTTTATTTTATCAAATAATTGATGAAAACATATATGTAAAAAAAATATTTTGAATGATAAACTGTGATAGTCTTTTTTTTGTAGTATAAAACTAAAAAAATTAGAAAATTTACTCCGTATTACTCTATTCGTCTCACAAAATCTTTCTCCCCTTTTTTTCATACGTCCCAAGAAATTATTTTCAATTATGATAAAAAGTCACTTTTACTCTTACTAATTCTTAATCTGCCTATCACATTACATGTTTTCACTAGTAATGTACGCATCACATTTTCTTTTATTTATTACGTAGTACATACATTCAAGGACACTTTTTAAAGTCAACACCAAAATAGACTCGTACTATGCTTAAATCTTTTAAAATTCAAAATAAGAAATATTTTGTAGGACGGGGAGTAGTTAAATCTAATAAAATTATTCTTTATAAATTTTATTCATTTAATGATTGATTTAGAAAAACTATGGAGTAATTAATTAATTAATTAGGAAGAGTTACCTCATGCCAGGATTGAGTGTCCACAAGGTGAGGCTTTCTAGGCAGTGGCCAATTATAGACGATACCGGAACCGACATTTTCAGGTCAAAATCCGCCACGTCATCGTCGCCGTCGCCGGCGATCTGAGCCAAGACGTCGAGCATCGTCACCATCCCGATATAGTGCTTCCTGGCGGCGCCGGTGCGTTTATCGTACTCCAGAATCATGGAACCGCCGGCTCCGATCCACTGTCCCGGCGGCGCCGCCACCGGCACGGCCGCCACGCGGTTGGCGAGGAGGGTGTTCATGGTGTCCGCCAGGGTGGCGGTGTACGGCACCTCCACCAGTCTCCGTTTGTCGCCGACTAAATCCGCCACCTTCTTCTCCGTCAGCCTCTCCGGCGGAACTTGGAGTTGACTCGTTGACTGCATGGCGTGGTGAGGGTCTATGGATATTTGGGTGTGGACGAGAGCAGAGGAATAAAATAACAAGACTTTGTAGGGAAGGATTTGGCAAACCAACAACTCGTATATGTAAAAACTAGACTCTCTTCCTTTTGAATTAATTATCTTTTACTTTTTTAGAAAATTAAAAAAAATTATCACTTTTTTATTTTCATAATAACCATAAGAATATGCAGTCTATAATTTTTCTCTTCTTGTAAACAAAATTAAAATACTCCTTTCGTTTAGATAAAATCTTCTCATTTAATTTTTCAGGATCCGTTTGTTATACGGAATTGATAGAATTAGAATTGAATTGGAATTGAAATTCAATGGGATTCAATTCTATAGAATTCAATTCATCAATTCCAATTCATTTTTTGCACTACCAATTCTAAATCCACATAATTTGTGTGCTACCAAACACCAGAATTGGAATTAAAGTCTTCAATTCAAATTCCACAATTTGAATTTCGTGTACCAAACGGGGCCTCAAAATCTCCGATGTAACACTTTAACTTTTATTATCAATAGTTATGTTAAAGTCATTCGTCCGAACTTATGTTAAAGCCATCCAGTCTCGAACTAATCGTCATACTTTTTTATTTTAATTTGTCTAAAACTCTCGAAGTAACAGTTCCTCCCTAATCATGAATTTGTCGCAGTGAGTATTCCTTTATGAGCAACTGAATATTCAATTTCAAGCAATTGGATACTCATTTTGAAGTAAATAAATACTCATTTTGTAGTGAATAAAGTACTCATTTTCGAGTACTTGAATACCCATTTTAGAGTAACTAAGTACTTATTTTTTATGGCTAAAATCCACCATTGGTCCTTCAACTTTATCAGTTGTGCACGATTGGTCCTTCAAGTTTCAAAAGCCCATAAATAGTCCTTCAACTTTATGAGTTCTGCACCATTGGTCCTTCAAGTTTCAAAAGTCCATAAATAGTCCTTCAAGTACATGTCAGCCCTCCAGATGAAGTCCTTCTGACAGTAAATATTAAAAGTTAAACGCAATACTAGTTTCATATAATACGAGTAAATTCCACTAGGTACGACTACTTCGTATTATATGGAGCTAGTATTCCATTTAGCTTTTAACATTTATTGTCAAAAGGACCTCATATGGAGGGATGACGTGTATTTGAAGGACTGCTTATGCACTTTTAAAACTTGAAGGATCAATCGTGCTTAACTCATAAAGTTGAAGGACTATTTATGGATTTTTAAAACTTGAAGGACCAATCATGCATAATTTATAAAGTTGAAGGACCAATGGTGGAGTTTAGCCTATTTTTTATTAACTGAATACTTATTTTTTAAAAATTAAATTATCCTCGAAAATGAGTATTATGTTCCAAGAAATAAATATCCTGTTATTCGAAGATGAATATTCAAGTGAATGTACAAAATGAGTATTCGTTAGTCATTTGAAAAATTAATATAGTCATCTCACCACTAATTTTATAGATCTTTTAATGTAGTTTTTTAAATTTGTAATTTTTATTTTTAATTATATATACCATTTTTTATATAAAATAATTTAAAAATAACGTTAGTGAAACATCGTAAACCAAAATATCAATTTAAATTAGAATGGAGGGATAAATTAGAATGGAGGGAGTACTTTTAATTATTCTTTTTAAATTTAATGAAATTAAAGTAGGACGATTATCTGAGTACGAATCAAGTAAAAGAAATAATCACATTGTGCAGTTTGTGCTGTAGAATGTTTCATGCGGACACGTGTAAGTGTTGAAGAACGGGAGAGTGGCAGATTTTTCTTGCCACTTAGCTACACGTGGCGGTTGTCCAGTTTTTGAGTAGTGTCCACGTGTAACAATTAAGGGTGTTTGTCGCTTAAAAAGATACTCTTAAAAAAAATTGGCAGGGAGAATTTTTTTACATCCCCTAAAAAAGAAAGAGAAAAAGTGAAAAAATTATTTTAAAATGGATAAAAAAAATTATTTTAAAAACGGATAAAAAATGAAAGGTAAGAAAACTTTCTAGGACAAAGAGAATATATTTTATTTTGTTTTTTCGTTCAACCTTTTGTTCTTATAAAAGGGTCAACAACATAAATTGATAGAAAAATAAATTCTGAGTAAAAGATAAATAAATTCTGATATTTTTAAATATTATGGAGTATTTTTTTGTGTTTGATAAATTCACCTAGAGATATCTCGAATTTGATATCTCTTCACACATTACAAATCTTCCAAATAAAATGTCTTCATCACCCAAACTTAGGAGTTTTCAAATCAGACATTTTTTATATCATTCAATCGTCAACTTACCCCCGTCCGCCACCGCTAATCACCTTATTGCCAACCACTCTCGCCACCTTAATAATTACTCTCTCCGTCCCGGAGTATTCGTCCAGTTTTGACTTTTGGAACTGTTTATCTTAGCACTTTGATTCATCAAGTTATCTCAATGTGTAAGCCTAAATATAGTCATGTGTGATCTTGTTTGATTTGTCTTAACATATAGATTATTAATATATAATTTCTATAATTTTTTTATATACAAATTACAAGATAAAATGGATTAAAGAAATGTATTGGATGATGTGTAAAAAGGAAAGTGGACAAATACTCTGTGACGGAGATAGTACTTCATATATATACATTTGAATAAATATTTATATTATATATACATTAAAAAGTAATTAAATTTAGATAATCAATATATAGAAGAGATAGTATTTTTATTAAAATATCTCATCCTTATAAAAAATCAAAATTTTAGAAACTCAAATTACAAGTAGCAATAAAAATATATTTTAAAAGTAGAATTATATTGACATTGTCAATGTATTTTAAAACTAATTTTTTCGACGTCTAATAATTAAGGATTACTTTCTCAGTTTTCTATTTAACCTGTTTCTAATATTTATTCTTTTTAATTTTTAAGAACAATAATAACAATAACAATAATGATAATAATAATAATAATAGTAATAATAATAATAATCTTGATGGGATCTGATTTTAATAAATCCTGATCTGATCAGATGAGATCTGATCGGATCTGATATTTGATTTTAATAAGAATAAGACAAAATAAGAAAAAATAAGTTGAACGGAATAGAAAAAATAAGTTAAAATAGATTTTAATCATCTATAGTCTAATTATAAATGATTCATCGCACGGGCTAAGAATATCACCAAGGCTACATCTTGAAGTTGGATGCTTTCTGAATTCTGATAATTGTTTAGTGTGTTCCACTTGTTTTAATTTGATATTCCCTCCGTCCCAACTACTTAAACACTCCAATAAAAATTTGTCACTTCAAAAATATTCAAAGTGTCCAAAACTACTTGCGGCGAGTACCTTAAGTACCCGGCCATTCTAACGCACAAATTGCTACCAAATCTTCCCTCTTTCTTCGAGTAAGAACGAGTACTAGAACCTGATATTGCTACTCATGTGTTGGTATACTTTTTGTTTGGTTTTCTGTGTGGTGTAATACTTTAAATCACGTGTACAATGGAAGTGAGATGTGCTGCAAGAGATTTAGAGTTCGGTTTTGCATTTGGGAGGGTAGGAATGTGAATTCTTAAAATCTAAGGCTCCGTTTGGTACATGAAATTCAAACTACAGAATTGGAATTAAGAACAACAATTCCAATTCTCCTGTTTAGAAGCACAAAAATATGTGGATTTGGAATAAGTAGTTGAAGAATTGTAATTTTCCTTGATTAATTATGTGAGGAGTACATGTATATATATACAACATCTCAATCCTAGTTATGGTAGGAGAGGTATTCTAGGAAAGCTATACAAGTATGGAAACAAATCATAATACAATAATATTAAATATATTTAATATACTCCCTCCGTCCCAAAAAGATTTACACGTTTCAAAAAAATTGTGTCCCACAATCCCTTACCCATTTCTATTAAAAAACCACTTTTACCCATTACTTTTTCAAACCATACCTATCACATCATACATTTTTCCTAATAATCTACACATCACATTCTACTTTTACCCATCACATCAAGGGTATTTTTGGAAAGTCAACACAAAATTATCTCTCCCTTAATTTCAACTTTAGTCAAAATGGGTAACACTTTATGGGACGGAGGAAGTATTTAACATGCTCCCGGCTACGTCGGATGTGCTGGGGGTCGGATACCCAGGCTTTCTCTGAAGTCCAAAAATAAAAGAGAGGGCAGTCCTTTTGTGAAGATGTCGGCGAACTGAGAGGATGAAGGAACATGAAGGACTTTGATCTGCCCAAGCGCCACTTTATCGCGTACAAAGTGTATATCAACCTCGACGTGCTTGGTGCGTTGATGTTGCACCGGATTTGATGATAGGTAGACAGCACTAACGTTGTCACAAAAGACGAGTGAGGCGCGACGAAGTGGGTGTTGCAGCTCAAGAAGTAGATTCCGGATCCAGCAGGTCTCTGCAACTGCATTGGCAACAGCCTGATATTCTGCCTCGGCATTAGAACGAGAGGTGGTGGCCTGGCGTTTGGAAGACCAGGAAACGAGGTTGTCGCCCAGAAAAACACAATAACCTGATGTGGAGCGTCTGGTGTCAGGGCAGCCAGCCCAATCAGCATCGGAGTAAGCCTGTAAATAATCGGTGGCGGATCGTGTCAGATGGATCCCGTGAGTGGCAGTGCCACTGAGATAG